TCCGTGTGCGCGCCCTGGACACAGAAATTTGGGAAAGGGTCCCTGTTCATGCATGCAATTTGGTTGCAATGTCCTAACATGCATGCTGTGGTCCTAATGTGAATATCTCAAGAGTCTCAGCTCCTGGTTACTACGACTACGATTGTGGGGGCACTTGTGGCGAGGGCCAGTGCACACACTGCACCTGCATGAAGATGCGCTGTATCAAGACTGCGAATGTTCTCATTTTAGGCGGCTGGACAAAAACGGACAGTTCTACGTACGAGTACCTGATGAATGGCTCCCTACAGCCATTAAGAGATCTGCTTGTGTATATCAGTGCCAGTATGTAAAATTTATCCTCCCAGGTTCTTGTTGGGGTCCATCAAGAGTTGAATCTCTCTAAGAATCTCTTCTTGGAGGGGGACTTGCGTTGGGTGACGAAGTTTTTCGAGGTGGCTTAGCCGTGCGTTCCACTTGCGTGCCTGTCACGCCGGCCTTGGGCTTTCGTCTGGGTATAGGACGATCGTCCGTTTGCGTGTGTGCAGTTTTTGGTACCGCCTCAGAAACTGAAGTGGTTGTCGGTAGTGGCCGTTGTATAGAAGAACGAGGGATTGGTGGAGACTTGGGTCTAGTCGTCTCCCGTCCGGGTGTCAGGGAAGTTGCTGCCTCATGGCCGAGACTAGGCAGCTGGGAACTTATTCGAGGAACGGATGGTGTTTCAAGGAGTGCCTTGGGTCTTGCAGTTCGGGCGCCGGATAAACTGGTTCCTTCAGGACTTGCCTCGGTCCTCCTAGTTCCAAGAGTTCTTGTAGCCCCCTTGGTCGGGATGCCAGCACCTTTAGTGCCAGTACCTTTAGTGCCAGCACTTATGGATCTAGTTACCACGGCCCGAGGGGTCGACGGTCCGGTGGTCGCAGTTGCGTGCCCTCTGGTTGGCTGGGCGCTGGCCAGTTGGACTTGGGTGGTTGTCTGACCCCGGGTGGTGGTCTGACCTCGAGTAGTTGGGATTCTGGTTGGCGGAACTCCGTTTGTTTGCCCTCGGGTCGTGGCTTTGCCCCGGGTCGTAGTTTGGTCTCGTGTCGTGGTCTGACCTCGGGTGGTCGGCAACCGGGCGGTTGCTGGAATGGAGGAGACGTTCTCAATGTTAACTCCATTGGACCGCCCGCTTCCTCCGGCGGCGGCAGTGCCCCGAGTCTGCGCAGTGCCCCGAGTCTGCGCAGTGCCCCGAGTCTGCACAGTGCTTCGGGACCGGCTGGATTGTGCCCCCGGGGCCTCTCCTGTTGACGTACGTTTGGAAGGGGCTGCGACACCGCCCTCCTCGACTGGTCGTTTCCGTCGCGGAATGCGCGCGGCCGCCAGCTCCTCCGCAGAGAGCCGCGGCGTCTCTTCCGATTCCGTCGGCGGACGCGGAGCAGCTGGGATCGGGACGGCCAGAACCGGGACGGTCCGCTCGGGTGGCGTGACCGCGCGAGTCCGCGGCGACGGCTGCCGCTGAACTTCGCGCTGAGCCTCCCGCGCTCTACGTGCCGCCATCTGTGCCATCATCACGGCCGCCTCCTCTGCAGTGGGCCACACATTCGCCGGCACGATCATCCGGCTGGGCAGCTCGGTGTAGTCGAGCAAGTTGGTCTGGGTAGGTTGAGTGGTCTGGGTAGGTTGAGTGGTCGGGGTAGGTTGAGTGGTCTGGCTAAGTTGAGTGGTCTGGCTAGCCGTGGGGTCGGAAGGTAGGTTGAAGCTTGGCCAGAACAGCGAAGCTTCTGCGGCAAATGCGTCCCAGTCGGGATCAGCCGGGAGCTGCCGCCGCGTTTGGTCGAGGGCTGTCGGCCACACACTTTCACTTCTCTGAAAAGAAGACCAGTCGTTTGCGAAGCCGTCCGAGGTCTGCCTGGGCACCATCAGGACCGCGGGCTGCTCCAAGTGCGGCTGTACACGTGGCTCGGAACGGTGCTGGGCAGGTAGGTGCGGTAACACTGTCTGCCGTAACATCGTCTGCGGTAACATCGTCTGCGGTAACTGACTTCCCAGAGGCGTTCGGTGGAGTGGTTCCGTGCGATTGATGTGGTCGTAAAGGTGTGGTGTGGCGTACTCTCGCGTCTGAGAGTGATATGCACTACGGGTGGTCGGCCTCGGTTTGGGCGATGGTTGTGGACCCCCCGGTGGTCCTGGTGGTCGTCCGGGTGGCGGCCCTGGCGGATGTCCGGGTGGCGTTCCTGGGGGTGGTCTCGGTGGTGGAGGCTGTCCAGGCAGAGGGGGCGGCGGAGCGGATGGAGCCGCAGGGGGTGGCTCCATGCCAGGGGGGTAGAGGGTGGGTGGTAGTGCGATTAGTTGTTCCAGGGATACGGAGCTGCTGCTGGGTGACCGGAAGGGCAGCGTGCCTTCGGGCCATCCTTCCGATGTTACATGTCCCAGCATGTGCGCCATCTTGGCCGTCTCTCGCAGCGCTTTGTTCCGTCGCGTAACTTGTTGTTTGCGCTGCTTCTTTGCCTCCGTCCGAGGCCGCAAGGCCATCGCAGCCGCCGGTGGTACCGCGTCCGGGCTGTGCCACGAAGCCACACTTGTCCGCAGATACCGCCCGTCTGCACCGTAACTTATGCCCATCCCTCCCGATGAAAGACGGCCTCCGCGCCGCTCAGACTTCTCCCGCTTTTCTCCTTTCCACTTCAGGTCTTCCCGCTTAAGCTCTCTCTCGCGGTCATCCCGGCGGTCATGTCGGCGGTTCTCGCGATAGTCATCTCGTCGGTCCTCCCGATGATCACCCCGACGGTCCTCCCGATAGTCATCTCTGCGATCCTCCCGATAGTGATCCCGTCGATAGCCATCCCGACGGTCATCTCGGCTATCGTCTCGATGGCCGTCCCAGGACTCACCTCGGTTGCGATCTTCGGGGAGCCGGTTAGGTCGGTAAGGTTTACGTCGGTGAGGGTCTTCCCATTCCCAGTGGTAGTCTCCCTCTGCGGAGTCCTCTACCTCGCCGCTTTCCCGGTCGTCTTCGGAGATTTCGCCGGAAGATTTGCGTGGTCGGCCGGTTGGAGTCTCCGCAGGTGCAATGGTGGGTTTCTCCTCCTCCTCCTCCTCGACGGTCTCGACCGTAGCAATCCCGACTCGTGCGGCCATCTCGGCTCCGTCGGCGATGTCGTTAGCCGCTGGGAACGCGTCGCCTTCGAGTGAAGGCGCATTCGAAATGGCCACGATTGTCTCCACGGCCCAGGCGGTCCGGGGGGTAGCGGTCGATGGCACCTGTGGCAAGAAGTCGTCTGGTTTCAGCCGCAGCTGCTGCTCCGTGGGTGTCAGGACGTCGACCGGTACTTCGCCGGACTCCGTGCTGCTTTTTCGTGGCCATCGGTGACAGCCGGCCCACTGGTTCCACAAGTCGTATCGCACAAACATGTCCATCCCCTGGACTTCATACGTGGGGTCCAGGGCATACGGGATGGGCAAGGACCTGGGGTCCAGCGCATACGGGATGGGCAAGGACCGTCCGAGACTGACATTCGGGTAGGCATTCGATCCGGAGTTAAGATTGGGTCTGTGTTGAGACAGCCTTTGCTGATCCAGGTCGGGTGCGTTGGCGGTCCGAGAGCGAGTCGGAGCGGCTTGGTTTCCATCAGGAGATTTTGGTTTGGTTGGTCTCGGACTCTTGCCCATAGCGGTCAATGTTACATGCACTCAGGGAGCACGTCCCAGCCTTCGCCGGTGCCGCCGCCGGCATCTTCACTTGCTGGGTGGGGCTTCATTTCTGGGTGGAACTTTGGAATTAGAAGCTGGGAATCAATGGGGGCACCCCGTTGGCGATGCTCGGTCGATTAATGCCGAGATTTTGAACCCCATATTTTCGCGTTATGGTTGCCTCATGCAACACAGCCTCGTCACCTTTCCCCAAACAACCCAAAGGTGATCCTCAATGCCCCACTGAAGACGAACTAACTTATCGAGAGCACAAGTCAGACCAACTACTGGATGACCAACCCGTCTGCGTTACCCCCTCCAGACGCATCGTCAAGAACCCTACCGACCGGACTTCTTCCCAGACGCCGCACCAATCACACAACAACGAACCACGCAATAACGGATCACTTAGCGGCGGGCCCCAAGCACGAAGATGGGAGTAAGCTAGACATTCCGGGCTTTGAACAGGACATGCTGTGCACCTTTCCCTACTACCCGACTCTCCAGCACCCCGCGAAATCCCCGCAGTACCCCGCACCCCGCGAAATCCCCGCAGTACCCCTAAATGACCTAGTGGTCCCTCCTACTCTCTGTCATTGATTACCACCACCTAATTTGTCGTGGCTGTAGATTAGAGAAAGGGTTCCTGAAGTCGATCGCCATGAGATCGTTCAAGGGATCTACGTCGGAGAGCAGAAATTCCGACACCTCTCGAGGCCCTGACGTGGCAAGTCCATCCGGTAAAACCTTGGCGATCTGGTCTGGCAGTTCACGCCAATTCGCAGCACACGAAACATGGCGCAGCACGGGCCCATGCCAATGGCATGTCGGACATGTTATCGTTTTTTAGCGGAGGCTGTATCGTCACAAATCCTTTTGGAGCCGACGGAACGGTTGTTGAAGATCATGTACGGAGAGGAGCAATATGTAGAAGGGGGAAAGATGGGTAGTGGAAAGCAGGAGGCAACTGGAGAGCAGGAGGCAACTGGAAAGCAGGAGGGAGCTGGAATGCATCCTCTCAGGTCGCGGGTTGTTACATGGGGGGGTGGCATTCCGTTGGAGGCTGTTCTGGCTAAGTTGAAGGGTTTGGAAGGAAGCGCTGTTGGCGAAGAGTTATTGGGGGAGTTGCGCAGTGGACGTGTTATGGGACGGGACAAGAGTGGGAAGGAGCGCTTTATTTCTTCCTTGACGCCCATAGAGCGCATTCGGCTGAGTTCGAAGGAAAGGAACTATCAACGAATGCTCTATGGTGTGAGTCAGATCAATGCATTGAAACAGTATACAGAGAACCCCTATCGCCAGACATTGGTTCTAGAGGTTCGGCAGAGTCTTAGCATTGCTGTCAGCTCCCTTATGATTATTGCTGCCTCATTCTTTGTTGGATTTTACTTGAATCCTTTCAATACCCTGCAAGCCAGAATACTCACAGGTTTGGTCGCGGCTGCTTGTGGCGCTATGTTGGAACTCGCACTCATGGTAACTCATTTCAACAAGATTGATCTCATACAAAACAAACAGAAGAACTCAGGGACCAAGGACACAGGGACCAAGCGCCTCAAGGCTTCAACCAGCAAAATGGCAGCAATAACCAAAAGAAGAGATGAAGGCGCATCAGAAGCTGATTTGACAACTGTGCCTTCCAGCGCAGACACCAGCAGCAAGGCAGACGACGAAGGAAGGCACGAACACGAGCTAACACATAGAAAGAGCTGCACTTAATCAACCAATGGATTAATAGGCCCACACATTAGATCAATGCACGACCGCCCGACTGCAGAATGATAGGCTCCACAAATAATAGACGGCGCAACTCATAGGGAACCGATAGGGGGTATGGCGTCGGGCACATAAACGCTTCAAGAGGTCACAAAATATTCAGTCAACAATGATAAACATTGATTGCTACACGTACTCATTTAACTATAGTACCAGTACAGTACCAGTTGGACAGTTCGAGCGTGTGCACACACGTGTGCGCTGGGGGTAATCATTCCATGATGTCTACACTTTCGTCCCTAACAGGGATTCCAAACCTCATCTTAATCCTATTCAGTTCCTGTTCCTCTACAGACGGGGGTTCCGGGTCGGTTTCAGAAGCAATCACTTGTCCCCCGAACCAGAGGTTAATGTGGTTTTGCTGCTGGTTGATGGTCTCATCGCTCTCGTCGCTCTGAGTGGTATATTTCTTGTCTCGATTATAGTCTTCCAGGGACCTGTATCGTTGCACGCGGTGGGGTTCATAATCTATGAAAGAAAAATATTGCTTCATGGTGGTTAAGAGACCAGATCGCTGAACTGTTTGAAACAGATTGGGTCTGTACTTGTCCAGGTAAAGCTTCACTTGTGCGCAGCACTCATCCCACGACATATGACTGGTCCCGTTGATATATTCGAATGCCCAAGCCTGGTGAAGATCGATGAGCATTTGCTGGAATTCGTTGTAGACCAGGTCGCTTGCGCTGACGGCTCCCTCATTACTGTCTGCTCTCTGGTGGTCGGTGGAGCCACAGCAGGGACCCTTGCGGGTTGCACTAGCTAAGTTGGAGCAGGTTTTATCCAGCGCGCCCACCTTGTCTGCCCCATTTTCCTCCGACAGATTGCTGACAGCACGACCAGGACGCACCACGCTGCGGCAAATAATACCGCCGTCATCTACAGTCCCGGTTCCGCCAGGCTCTTCATTGACCGCCACCGACCCTTCTGCCTCTGTTTTGATAACCGCTCCCTCCTGCCTGAGTGGTCCAGATAGCGGGAGTGCAGACTGCGTGGGTGGTGACCCACGCTCCGGGTGTAGTGGATCAGTTTTCAATATGATCCCGATTGCCGCTCTCTGCATGACTTCTTTATATAATTTCTGGCTGCCTCGGTTCCTGATCTCTCCGAGAGTACAGCGGCGGAACCATGGTTCCTGTGGCATCTGCCCGTTCAGCAACAGCGTGGGATCCTCCAGCGTGCAGTATAGCAGCAGCACACAGTCCATGAACTTGGTGTAAGCACCCGCATACGGAAGTAACTCATTCTCTCGCGCGCTCATCCCAATTTTTTATGACCCTCTTGCCCGTCCCCATCGTCTTACGCAATTACACGGGTATTCACTGGTACAACAACCTCGCCAAACCCTCCTACTGCTACTCCAACAAGCCCCCGCCCTGGATTCTGCGTAAGTGCATCCCGTGGAGTGCTCTCTCGCTAATCCCTTACACACCTACACACACCCCTACACACACCCCTACACACCCCCCTACACACCCCCCTACATACCCCCCTGCACACCCCCCTACACACTTATACACTTGCTTACGTTCGCTTTAGACGCGCGGAGTTGCGAGACGTTTCTACCTTTGCGCAAGTTGAACAAATCGGATAAGCTTTTTTCGTATACAGTTGGATATCAATGTTTGATTGCCGGTGTGCTCCACAAGTTTTTTGTCCAAGTCTCAATGCCCAAGTCTGTCGCTAATTGCACACCCGATATCGAGCACCGGAGCGATCAAGAAGTGCTGTGCGAAGGAGATGTTGGCTGCTCGTTGGGCGAACGCACTTTGATGAACGAACTACTCGACGGCTCGGTCAGCGAAAGAGAACATAATGGGAGGGCTTGTCTCGATGCGAGTGCGGGTCAGCATGATGGTAGTACGTGGACTAATGCGAGTGTGCACACACGGAGCGCCGCCCTATGTCATGCGTCGAACTCCTTACATGCGTCGAACTCCTTACATGCGTCGAACTCCTTACATGCGTCGAGTTCCTCCTCCTTGAAGGCGTCCAATTCTTTTCAGACGGCTTCGAATTCTTCCTTCAAGCCCTCGACTTCCTTTTGTGCCTCGAAGTCCCTAAATCCTTCCAGGTCTCTAGAACCCTCCAAGTCGCCGCGGTCGGCCTCCTATAAGTTCCCCAAGTCGCCGAAGTGGGTTAAATCTTTGGCTGACCCCTCGCCCGCTCGCTTGGAGCGAGTCGATTCTGCTCGAGCACCAGAAGCAGGCGGCAATGGTGCTCGTGCTGTGAGGTACACGACGGCGGACTTGTTCGAAATAACTGTGGTGGTGGCTGCGACGCCAGGTTCGTCGGTAATGTCTTCGACAGGGCTCGCCTCACCCTCGAGTGGCTCGTCGCAGTCTGTGATATCAATCTGGCCAACGGAGCTAGGAGTGCAATACTTAGCGGAGGAGCTAGCCAAAGCGCGACTCACTCTGAGTCAGACACTGGCCAGCTGGACTCGTAACCTGAGCCATACGCCCATGGGTGCACCGGGAGAGCCGGAGAATCCCCGTGAGGTGGAGAAGTTTTACATGCTCGAGGAACCACTCGTGGTCGATGGCAGCAGCTGCGAGCCTGAGCTGATCTGCGGTCGAGTCAACAACGGCTCCGCCGAACTCTGCAACCTCCTCACCTCCATTCCCGTGTACGTATTGTACTATACACTCATGACCGTACTCTCCATCACACTGCCGTACTCCCTACAGTGGTGTATCGAGAACGAAAGCTGGAAGGAGACCCTCAAGGACAAGAAGGTCTCCGTCCATTGCAAAATTGTCAACAACACCAAGTACAAGCTCGTCGGTGGACATCTGTACAGCGACCAAATGGTTGAAAACATCAAGGCCTCGAACATCAAGTCGCTGGCACCCACCTCTGCTCTTGGCTCCGTGTTTGGTGGAGGCGGTTCCACCATTGGGGGAAGTGGCGGTTCCATCCTTGGGGGAGGAGCGGAAGGAAATATGGGTGGTGAGGACTCCAGCTGGAGCGCCGGCTACTTGGGTCCCACCGGTTCGACTCAGGCTCTCGCTAGTGAGTCAGGTGCTCATGTCCCGCTGAATGACTCTAATCGCTGGAAAGAGCGGTCAAAAACTGCTGTCGTGCCCTCGGCGGCGGCTGCCATAGGACATAGCCCGATGGACACTGCTTTCAGTAGAGCGTGGTCGACGATGGACGTACCTCCGCAGATGGAGGTACCCCCGCAGACGCCCAGTAAGCAAGTCCATGAAAACAGCGGCAAAGTCAGTACGAAGGACTCTGCTACCCGACGGAGAATGACAACTCCTACTGTCCCCTTACAGCACGATGTCTTCGACAGCTTCTACCATTGTGACTGTCCTTCTGGTGATGGGGGCTTAGGCGAGCATGGTGAGTGCTTTATGATCAACTTTCCGCTGTATGAAGTTGGCCCGATGAGCTTCACAGAGTTCGGATTGGGAAGCAACAGGTTCAATCTCCGCTCGCTCAAGTTGAACGTACTCTATCATGTCGTCGGACGAACCAGCAGCTACGACCAAAACGAGGACATTCTGTTTAGCTGTCATTTCACAGCTTCTCAGACGTCGACCAAAATGAAGGGCGATGGACAAAATCTGCGCCACCCAGAGAATCTGAATCCACTGAGAGTTGAAGTGTACTTGGCACAACCTCCCTTGGCACCCTTGGAACAACCTCCCTCCTTCCGCACAGACTTTCTCATGTTAGGGCCGCTGAATCATTGAACGAGGCAACAGTTATATTTCGAGTGTTTGATCCCATATCCCCTCCTTATGCTTCTGTAAGTAAGTCGTTGGTTGTGACTCATATTTTGTGTAGATCGTGGACTATACGGCTTTTCCATTACCGGTATCAAAGTTGTCGAAATTACCGGGTAAAGGCGACTATGAGTCGCAAATGGACTCATACCGTCTGGGTGTTGAGAGGAAGTGTATGGGATTGTACGAGGGTCCTAGTCCGTCAAATGTGGGGTCGTTGCAGCCTGTGAGTTTAGTTGAAAAAATTTGGGACAAGATCCGTTCTGAAGAGACATCTTCAGAAGTGATATCATCCGAGGATCCAGAGCCGAATACTTTACTGGTAGGGAATGCATTATGGTGGACGTCATTTCAAGGACCACATCCGTGTTCGGCGAAACGTTTTCTTTTGCCTCAATTGAAGCAGTTATTAGTGAACGGAGGTGTTGCTAGGAGGGATGAGTATAAGTCGGCGATATTGCGATATAAGATTGGATGTGAGTTGTTTACCAGAATTATAGACGTTAATGACTGGCATGATATGATATTTAACACGTGTGTTGTCGGAGGTATTGAGAACGAAACAATGTTTTATAATGGTTTCACAGGTACTACAGGAGGTACCAAGAACGTGTTATACTCCGAGCTAACACGTGCTCCTACTATCCCACCCGAATTTTGTAATCATTTATCCGTGTGGACTACACGACTTCTTAAAGGAGAATTGGGTACGGAATATCTACAACAGAAGTACATGCTTATGATATCAACACAAGAAAAAAAGACTGTACTTACTCATACACTACTTCTAATTGTAAATCAACTTCTCAGAGATCGTATGACCAGTCGCGTTCGAAAACGGACCAACAGTTTGGTAACTACAACCGTCGACCGTTCAGCCGGCACCTTGGAAGCCAGAAGTCCCAAGGCTAAAAAGGCCGCAGACCTCCAAGACTTAATCCGCTATGATGAACCGGATATCCAGGAAGTACTACACTATGTATACCAACATTGGGGAAGTGAGTTCGGAGATATCTTCCCGGAATCTGTATCCATCTTCAACCCAATCAAAAACCTCTGCTGGCTCTGGGTCACTCAGGAACTAGACCAAATCTCCTGGGCTCTTATCAATGCCGCCACCAAATGTACTGTTGCCATTGCTCACCGACTTGGAAAAACCAACATCATTCAACAACTACAAGATCTTGTCGGATCCGATCGAATCAACAATAAGATACACTGGCTCAACACTGTGACCAGAAGACCCTCATAATCATTATACCCCACTACAAAAATACCCCCTCAGGCGTCCATTGCTAGAGAAGACCCCTGGCCGGTCATATTTCGACCAAAATAGATTCATCATAAAAAATGCTGGACCGCTGCTTGTTGCGTAGGCTGGCTGCATTTGTCATTGTGGAGCGACCGGCCCACGCTGGTACGCAAGAGCTGTGGACCGACTGACGGGCATGAGTGTTTGACTTGATCCACATGGGCGTGCGCGCGCGTGGGTGTTGTAAAAATCCACTTTATTTAATCCGAAGATGAGCCTGAACTAGACGATCCGGAGCTGCCACTGCCGCTGCCGCTCCCTGAGCCGCCGCCGCTGCTGCTGCTGGATCCCGAAGAACCTTTGCTACTTGCGCTGGAGCCGGATTCGTCATCTGAAGAAGATCCGCCGGAACTGCTGCTGCTGCTACCGCTTCCAGAGCCGGATTTCTTTTCAGCATCTGAGCCGGATTCTTCGTCTTCCTCCTCGCCGGCTGCGACTGCTTGTTGTTGGACAACGGATAGGAGGTCGATGATTTCCTGTTGGACGAGCGGATTGGAGTTCAGATCGTCAACAGTCTTGGCTTTGAGTGTGAGATACAAAACCGCTTCGGCAAACTGCGTAGGGGCGATGGCCATGCTCTCAATACTGCTGGGGAGCGGAACATCTTCGTTTTTCTCCCTCAGGAGTTCCCATTTGTGTCTGTTGAACAATAGTTTGTTCATGAGGTCGTTATTGAAGATGCCCGTTTCGTCAACTTCTCCCAGTTCGGCCGCCAGAGGGGTGACGACGAACTGCAGGAATCCAGCCTGGGACTTGGCGAAATCCGGGTGTGTAGCGGAGTCGCAAAGAGGTGAGACGGGCAACTTGTTCGCCTTTTCAATTTCTCCTTGAAGGTAAAATTCCTTTGTAACTCTGAATGACCATTCAAGATGTTGAGGCCAGTCGACTATGGAGTGGGAGAGGTCGGCCATTTTAATCCCTAGTCTGGCAACGAATTGTTGATCTTCTACGTTCTGTTTTAAGTCGAATTTGTCAGAAGTTCTACGCACACGGAATTTTGAGATGATGGTGAAATGTTGACTCATGTCCGTGACTAAGATGTACTCAATGATGCTTTGACGGATCTCTCTCCACTCGTCCGAGGGCAGATTTTGGAAGATGTTGACTTCTGGTGCGATTTGGGCGAATCTGAAAACCAGGAAAGAGTGGTAATTTTCGAGGATAGCGTTGTCGTTATAGAGGCGGGTGAGCAGGCTCTGGCTGTTAACAAGGTAACTGTTGTTCAATCCGGGGTGGCCGACGTCGTGACCGATGGCGGCAATGACAAGGGACATAAGGTCTTGTTTGGCGAAGTACTGGTACACACCTAGTGATTTCAAGATGGCTATGGACATGTGGCCAACCATGGCACCATGCACGCTGTTGTGGTAGGGGTTTGAGTGATATCGACGCTGGATTTGGTAGAAATATTTTTGGAGACATTGTCTATTAATAGACAAGTCATCCCCTACGGGTTCGATGAGAGTCATGGCGACCTTGACAAGCAATTGGGGTTCCTTTTCCGACAGTTCCAATAGCTTGAAGCCTGCTCCTGGTGCGGTGCCTGCCATCCGTTCGATCTCGCCACCGACGGAGAAGTCCGGCATGATATCGGAGGTGAAGAATTCTTGTTGGTCGAAGGCAATAGAAAGTTTATCCTCGGCAGTCTTCCGCTTTTGTCCGCTCGTTTCACCCTTCTTCTTCTTGCTGTAGATATTCAGCACGTCGTCGTCGTCGTCACCCCCACCCACGCCGACAGCGAACAAATCATCTGCGTCTAGTGCAACGTCTACCGCTTGGCGTAACTCTTCATCTTTCTCAATCAAGACGATCTCTCCCTGAGTGGAGCGTTCGAATGCAGCGACCTGGAGTGCGGTTTGCGCCTTTTTTAGCCCGTCAATAACTCTTTCTTGAAGCGTTTGTGCTTTCGATCGCTTTTTCTGCTGCGATTTTCGCAGCTCCTGCAACCGCATCTGGTCCATGAGTACATCCAGGTAAGCTGCACGTTCGCTCATCTCCTTCTGTACCCTCGAGAAGTATGCCATGAGACAGAGACAGCAGTAGAACATTATTTGAAGTATTTGTGTTAACACCACCATAGGCATGTAGGCGTCTGTTGTTGGGTCTTTGAAGACAAAGATGATGAGTGCCCGGCTGAACACGTACACTGCAACCACAATCGCGTGTGCATAAATGGTATAAAGTGTGCGTGTGTTCATTAATAAGTCATTATATACTATCATCATAAACAATGTCACCAACGTCAAACAGTCAGTCCAAAACTTATATTGAATAGCACCATCCTGCGACTGCTTTCCCCCTAAACTGAACTCCGCCTTGATTGAATGACCATAAAATAAGCACCAAATCTCCCAAGTACAAACGCTCAAAAATGGCAATGCGGTAATCACTATCATACTCTCCTCCGGGTAGTTCCTTAATGACTTTATCTGGTTCTGGAAACACAGAATTACGCTCGCTATAACCGATACACACATGATCACATCATATGTCACAGCAAACGTCTGACTTGTAATAGCCAACAGACCATTCAAATTGTTCGCATCCAAATCTCGACGCATTAAAATCGACGGAACAATCCAAATAGCCGACAGCACAACTAAAATACACCATGATGGGGTACCCCATCATGGTCAAACACACGGGATAATGATGGGGTTAAACACACGGGATCTGATACATGATAATGGGGTTAAACACACGGGGTTAAACACACGGGGTTAAACACGGGGTTAAACACACGGGGTTAAACACACGGGGTTAAACACACGGGGTTAAACACACGGGGTTAAACACACGGGATTAAACACACGGGGGTAAACACACGGGGTTAAACACACGGGATCTGATACATGACAATGACCCTTACTAATACTACTCAGTCCCGCGATGATGTTTCTCAGTTGGTATGTCTCTTTAACATACTGAGCATATAGGCGTTCTATCTTCGGATCCTTGAAGACGACGTATGGGAAAATCTTGAACGACTTGCGGTATTTCTGCCAGCCTGGTCCAATGGAGTTCTCCCAGAGGCCATAGTTCACCTTCTGAGCATAGGTCTTGGGCTTTGTGTAACTGGTATCTGTCTGACCGCCTGCATCGGATCGTTTACCCAGGCCTTCACTTAATGCTTGACTTTGTTGCCTGTTGACACTCGGTGGCATGGTGCAACTTAATTCCACTGCACTCAAGCCTCCCCCGTTCCAATGTGCTTCTCCCCAGGTGTGTGCTCCTTCATCCCCATATACCCCTCAACAACTACCTAATCAACAAGCAAAGCAACCTTCAAAGTTAACCACAAACCAAAATATTTCTGCACCATTCATCCATAACTCTCATGCGCGGTATCATTCCATTCATGGGTCATTCCTGGAATGGAATGGCAGATGAAATGGAATGGCCCATGAAATGGAATGGCCCCTTTACGCTACTTTTAGAAAGTAGACAAACAGTAGGCACGAAACAATCACTAAGGGAACGTCCTCGCAGGGGACGAAGGATGATCTAGCCGGTCCAAACGGGGTGGGGTCAACTTAAAATCAGGTCCAGGTCCAGGGAAGGGAGTATACCTAATGAAGGAAGAAAAATATACAGTCCATAGAAGCAGCTCAGATCTTGGAATACATCCATGTTGTGTCACCCATTAACTCCTGCCCAATAGGACAAGAGCTGATGGGTCTCGATAACTACTCCTATTACATAAAGGTACATGTAGATACATGTAGATCCAGTTCCATGTGAAGGGGGTGCTGGGAATCAATCAGGACAGCCGGAGAACACGGAATAAATCTCAGGAGAACAAGTTCCCAGGAGAACAAGTTCCCAGGAGAACAAGTTCCCAGGAGAACAAGTTCCCAGGAGAACAAGTTCTCAACAGCTACCTCAAGGAAAGAATATACGAGGAAAGGGAGCTGTAATGGAACGCGGGGACAGTCACGTTCTGCGGTCCAGGTCTGCGGTCCAGGTCCTGCCAGAACTTCGAAACATACACTCACTTTCACTCCGGCCGTCTGCAGCTGCCCGTCACAAATAATCTTGCCAACCGCGTGAGTCCCTCCCGGGCAGCGCGCTCAGACGGTTGGTCATGAGACAGAGCTCCAACGAAGCCCGACCGCTCCCTTGAGCGCAACGTGCGTCAATCCGTAATACTTTTAGCGCGTTGCCCTAACAGCTCACCCACAGACGAGTGACACGTTTGCCCTAAGACGTCCCTGGGTTCGGTCAACGCGGGGCGATCACCGACGCGCGGCCATCACCGACGCGCAGTCATCACCGACGTCCTCTTCTTCGCGGGCCAAACACACGTACTATCTCGCAGGATTTAGAAGCTGGTATTAAAGCCAGCCTCGGCCCGTCTTCGATGTGTGGTGTGTGGTCATTCGAGGTGTGGTCATTTAAAGTGTGGCCATTCGAGGTGTGGTTGGGTCATTCGACGTGACAAGGGACAGGGATAGGTAGCGCGAGCGTGGCAGTCCTGAAGCAGAGCGGATGCCCGGAGAACAACGGATATCTGGAGCCTAACAGTAAGCTCGAGGAGCTCCGGTCGTGTCCTCCGTTGGTCGGTCCACCGCGGTCTCCAAAAGCACTCGCGGGTTCCTGAAGCTCGTGGGGTGTAGCTCATGGTTTCAGCTCCTAGCTTAGCCCATGGCCTTATTCTTCGAGCCGAGGAGAGGGGAATTTAGGAAGTTATGGAGGGACTTGGTGCAGTCGATGAGTTGGTCGTTACCGTTGACGAAAACGGCCCCTTGTGACCGCAGGAATTGTAGGCAGGATTCGTCTGAAGAATCTCGGAGCCATTTTCGAACATCTGGGAGAGCGCAAACATACTGCGACTTGGAGATCATGCAGAGGTACCGAATGCGCCAGGAAGGGAGGCACGTACGAACAAGAGCGCGAGCGAGGAAGGGCATATTGGAATAAAGACCAGCAAAGCAGTCACTCATTTGCTCAAACGTGAACAGAGACGACATCGCCTTTTTCAAAGCATACAGTTCATGTAAACGCTCTTCACGCAACTCTGACTCTTCCCTCGGTGCCGAACAAAGCGTATTCTGATTGGTAACCAACCGGAACAACTTTGCATAGTTCCGCTCGTCGCAACAAGCCTTCACCGCGTCCACAAATTCAGAACATTTTTTCACATTGGTCGAAGCGCTACTCGACTCACCCAGTAACTGCCGGTGTTTAGTCCAATCTAAATTGTTTATTACTGCGTACAAGGTTCGATGAAATTCATTGTCCAACTAAAATAGAACCAACAATGAGTAGGTGTAAGTGATAGGAGTAGTAAGCGGTAGTGTGTGTGAGCGCGGGCGGGTGTGTGTAAGTGATAGGGAGTGGCAGTTACCATTGGAGTGTCTAACTCCCGTTCCAGAATTGCCATTTGGCACTGGCACTGGTTGAACTGCCCAAGATCACCAAAGACCAAGGAGACGATGCTGTTGACATAATACACATAGAGCAACTGATGATCCCTGATGCCCTGCACCACATAATCCTGTCTGATCGCTCTGAGCTGCTCTTCTATATACCGGTACGATGCCATATCCCCATCCCGACGAACGCGCCCGAAGAACTCTGTGAAAATATGCACTAATGCGACCTTTAAAACCTCTGGGGACCGAATCTGAAAAGAATATTCGTGGGGTGGGAGTTGTTGCTTACCAAAGCGGGATCGGGGGCACCACAAAGTCGCAAGTACTGCTTTTCTAAAGCGGTACTGCGACCTTGCACTTTCTGCGTAGAACTTAACAACGCCAGTTTTTCTTGCCATCCCAGAGTACCGGTGCTCTGACACTCAAGGCTCTCAAAGCGGCCGGCGCGTTCCATGCGTTTCTGACACTCGACAGGGTCGAATCGCCTATTAACGAACGCCATCTTTGAGGCAGCGCCATTCTTGGCAGTCGCTTTTGGCTCAACCGCCCGATTCATAGCCGACCGATTCGCCGTCTTTCCACCTCTATTATGTGCTGTGCGTCTCTCAGGCATCAAGCGCTTATCAATAACCCTTCGCATACGAAGCAGGCTTTTCGGCTTCTGCTGTTGACTGGACGGGAGGGGGGGTATAGGAATAAACTCATCGCTTGCTGCCACAGGATTACTCATCATTGCCTGTTTTTTTAGCGCCAAAATTATCAGAAAATCCTTGGGACTACCTTTTTGCACACGCGTGTGCTGGCGCACGCAGACTATATAAATTGCACCCAAACACCCAACACACAATTTTCCAACCCAGATGTACCTCTACACCCGCCCTCATGGTGGCCCCCCTGCCCCGCCCAATGCAAATGCTCACCCGCCCGGCTCGTCGTCTTTGCGCCGGCTATTTCCCCGAAAAAGCTGAGGTTGATGTAATACGTGTTTGACATGGAGGTAATGGAAGGAACCGTGTCCATTACGGACTTCCTCACAGGTGCCACTAAGCCGGAGGCGGCGCCCGCTAAGCTGCAGGCCGAAACATCCAGCGAGCTAAACCAAGTTTCTGGGCCCGCGGCTCCCGAATCCGCAAGACAGCGCAGCGCTCCGCTTTTGGTGACCGCAGCGGAAACTTTCCCTACGGTTACTGAGTTGAGGCGGGATGGTCAGTCACTGGGGGTTAGCCGCAGCAGAGTGATTTTACAAGCGGCCTTGGGCAAGTACTCGCCGTTCCGAAGCGGGGCAGTCCGAAAGGAAGAGAAGTCGTCGTCAGATGGCTCATGTCCGTTCGGCCACTCTCGGTCGAGTCGCACGGTGGACATGAATAAGGTTATTTTCCGGTACGACTTGAATTCAGCTGGTTTGCCTGAAACCATCGTCAGGGCCAGGCTGCCGTCAACGCGCTTAGAACCGGGTTTGTACGTCTCCCTGGCGAAGGAAATGCGGGAGATATATAGCCGAAGTCGAGACCGAGTAGAGGCCAGAGTGGATCAGCAGAACAGCGACCGGAGAACGCGGGCAGTAGGTAGCATGTTATCTTCTGACAGCGATGACGAGATGTTTGAATCCGTGGGAGGGTTTGACTCTGCCGTGTACAAGAAGTCGGAATTGTCACCACTGACCGAGCTAGCTCACAACCCATCGAGTGAGCGGTTTCCGGACGGTCGGGTGGTCAGCTCAGAGTCCGGAATTGCGCGTGTAGAAGAGACAATTGCTGGGGCCAAATCGCGTTTCGAAGAGCAAGAGGCGGCCGAATTGAGGGAGGCGGAGACGCGAAGGAAGTTGATGGAACAAGTCCGACCTGCGGACCATAACCCGTTTAGCATCAAGAACGCCTCCCTCGTCCCTTTGGCGCAGCAACCAGTCTACTTACACCACAAGGAGCCTGCTAATGCCCTCATCTCCCGGAAGCGGCATGCAGAACAAGAAATCGACGTCGACATCGAGTATGGGATTGAGCTTGAAGGCGAAGAATACAGATCCAGCAATACACCTATCAAACAGGGCGGCAAGAGACGTAAAGATACAAAACATAAATATGAGAACGTCGTAAAACATTACAAGGCATGACACTTCCATGCATGACCCTGTATGAAGCATTACCAGGCACGCGGACCTCAGATGTCTAGCCGTAAAACCTTACGGCAACATTGTGGTGGGCATTAAGGGGGGTTCGCTAAGTGGGCGTCAAGTTGGCCAGACAAAAGAGGCCACGGGGACATTATTACGAGGTCATTACCAAGCGGCATTGCCATGTTGCGAGGAAAAGGCGCGAGCCAGGAACAGGGAGATGCCGGTGATTATGAGAAGTGCTATAGACTGATTCCAACCCCCCAGGAAGATTCTGCTCAGCCAGTCACGGTTCGTCGAATGACTCAGCCCCATTCGCAGCATGGACGTGCCGTTCGTATTCAGTAGCTCTAGCGTCTTCACGAACCTCTGCTCCGTGTTCATCTCCTGAATCATCTTGTTCTTCATCTTAGCTGGAATCGCCAACGGGATCATAATAGCGAAACTTATCTCCTCCAATTGAGAAATTCCGCATCGCGAAGGGATCACGGGTACGTCACCGTACCGGCCTACCATCACCATATGTGTGTGCCGCTCATACGTGCGTGTGCCACTCACGTGTGTGTGCCACTCACGCGTGTGTGCCACTCATGTGTGTGTGCCACTCATGTGTGTGTGCCACTCACTTGTGTGTGCCACTCACGTGTGTGTGCCACTCATGTGTGTGTGTATGTTCGTACGGTTGTAGAGGAGTCTGCCGGCTTGGCCAATACCGGATCTGAGTGCTATGATTTTAGTTCGTAGTGCAAGTGCTTTTATGCGGTTTTCATCGCTGTCCATGTCGGGTCTGTTTTTTTCGCAGACGGGTTCTGCGAAGGCAAGTGAGACGGGTCCGCAGTCTTCGACTTGATGGACTCTGACGCGTGCGACAGCCTTGATTTTGATAACGCAAGATTGTTTGACGTTGTCGTAGAGTTCAATTTTGTTGTTCTCAAAGCGTCCACGTTGTGCTTTAAGTCGTCGTGGGACCCATGGTTCTGATTCAGGTACAGTTGATGACGGGGAAAGGAGTGTGCAGTACATCATGCGTACCAACACTCCGATGCGCGACTCAGGTGGGCCCAACGAGCCTGCTCGTCCTAGAGGCGTCCGGCAATCATGCAGTCGTGGGATCGAATCCATGTCACGGACAAGAGACCCAGTACTCGGCCGTGACACCCCCAATCCGCGCACCAGACCACGCCCCCGTTCACGCAACGACCAAGGTAGTAACACACAACCACAACGACCAGTCCGAAATATCTCGTCCACTACTTGACTCAAATTCGGATTTTCCAGATATAGATCCTCTTCCTCACCTGGACATGGTAATGCGAAACCAGGATTCTGCCAAAATAGGTGAACCTTCAAACCTTCGCCACCTTCCTCCAGACATTTCTGAGCCTCGTCCATTTTCCGACGCCAATGCTCCAAGTCGTCCTCGTCCACGTATCGAGACAACTCCTCACGCCGCCTCCGACACGTTACTGGATATAACTTCTAAAGACGCGCTACTAACCAAGGGGGG